AATTGGTATTGGCTGCCCCCCAGCAAATGCTGTATCCCCTAGTTCACTCAAGGACCCACACCACCTCCCTCCCTTGGGGGGGGGGGTCCCTTATCCCATGTTGGATGTCTGGTTTCTCCCAAGGTGGAGGACAGGACTGGAACCAACCACCCTGAGCTCCCCCAGCAAGTATCCTATCGATCATACTCTAAGCCACTCCAGAACCCCCATCACTACCTTCAGGTGTCCCTTAGCTCCTGTCTTTCTAATGCAGGCATCAGCTCCCATCCCTGGAGCAACTGGTGTTGGCTGCCAGGGCACTGCCTGAGTGGGGGCTGGGGAGTGCTTGAGTCTACCACCCTGTGGTCCCAGAGATAGATCTTACAATACACACAAAAAGCATGTTTTTGCGCAAGTAAAATAAAAGAACAGAGGGTTTTTTCCAGTGTAGGTATTCCTCATTCTACAAGGAATAACTCCTTTTTGTGCAAGAGTTCTTGTGCAAAATGGTGTGTGTGGATGGGCAACAGGAGTTTTTGAGCAAGAATTGGCCTCCAGGAAAAAAAAAGGTGCCTTGGTGGCCACTCCGTCCAAGGTAATCAGAACTCTATAGTTCCTGTCTGGTGGCCCCCCTTAAAGCTGCAGGCACCCTGGAAAAGCCTTGTGGCAGGAAGCCAGCCAGAGAGCAGGTCCCTCACCGTGCGGTTCTCTCTTGCCACTGGATTGCCACACATGACAGATCCGGAAACCCCCTGAGGCTCCCCATGACCTTCCAGGGAGCAGCCGCAGGGGTCCCAGGATCCCCCCCAGGGGGACCAATGCTTCCACTTGATCCGGGTCTGAGATAGCAACCCTCCTCAAATTGTGGGGCGAGGAAGAGTCGCTCCAAGATCCCTGAGCCAAGCGGCAGAACGCCGAGATTTTTTCAATGATGGCCGTATCCCTGATGGAGTGAGGTCACCCTGCCTGGACCATGGAGCAGGTCCGGAGAGAGGTGAAGGAGCTCTGTCAGGGTATGTGAGGGCCACTAAGTGCAGTGCATGCTCAGGGGCAAGACCCCACACCTGCCCCTACTATACTGACCTCCACCACGTCTTAGGGCATGGAGAAACAGCTTCCCCACCCAGCATGGTGGGCTCAGGGCAGGAAACCCCAGTTGTCATCTGCCCAGAGGTCGCCCCTGAGGACGAGCTGGAGGGCCAGGGCCAGCCCCAGCCAGAGGAAGAGGAGCAGGAATCAGAGATTGTGACCCTGTTCCTCAAGCTGGTCACTGTCAGCCAGGACGTCTTCCAGGCCTCCTTGGATGTCTGGGAGGGATCTTCAGGTGAGCTGTCACACACACACAGGGTGGAGGAGGCGGGCACACAGGGAGCAGGGGGTGAGTGTTGCTCGGGCTGCACATGGTGTTGCAGTCTGTGCACGTGCAACCACATGCAGCGGGAGAGTGTGGCACGCAGACACAACAGGCAGCCCCTGAACACGTCTGGGATCCTGATATCAGGCTCAGGGGAGGGCACACACGTCCTGCCCCCCGGGGAGAGAGAGGGTGCTCCCGGTTGGAAGCGGGTTAGCCACAAGGATACAGGCACGACCCCAAACACACCCAGGAGTGCTGCACAAAACACACAGGCGTGCCTGCACGTGCAAGGCAGTTGTCACTCCCACAGACAGCACAGCGAGCCACAGCTATGTGTGCAGACCCCAGGGAGGGCCAGGCTGCTCCCGGCTCCTCTGCATCCCATGAGGGGATCCCACTATGGACGGACACTTCCCTTGCCTGCCTGTCTGTGGTGTGTGTGGGGGGGAGAGGGTGTGAAATTGGGCAGCATGGTCCTTTGGGCACATCGAGGCCCCTGTGAGACAGGGCATGCTATGGAACCTATACATGGCCTTGCACCCAGGACATCCCCCTTCTGTGGGTCGCAGACTGTTCTGGTCGCCGCTCACAGAGGAGGGCACGGCCTCAGGGAATGTGTGTGCAGGGATGACTGACAGCCTTTCCCTCTTTTGTGGGCTTTCTCCAGTGCTGTTCGCCTCCTTGCAGTGTTTGGTCAGGCTCAACTGGACCATGACTGAGCTGGTCAGCTTCGGGTGGGGAGTATGCCAGGGGTATCCGGTGTTGGGCCAGCTGTACGCTATGGCGATCAAGCCCTTCCTCTGACTCCTCCACCACAGGTTGACGGGGTTGGTGCTCCAAGAATTAGAGCTGCGGCTCATCCTGTCAGCGTATGCCCATGATGTACTCCTTATGGTCTAGGACCTGGGCGACCTGGTGCAGGTGGAGTCCTGCCAAGCTGTCTACTTGGTGGCCTCCCCCGTCCAGGTCAACTGGGTCAAGAGCTCTGGCCTAATGGTTGGGGATGGGTGGCAGGCAGGCTCCCTCCCACCCATGCTTCAGGTCGTCAGATGGAGCGTGGGTCCACTGCTTTATCTTGGCATTTTTCTATCCGCCACACATCTCTCCCCGCAGGAGAACTGGCAGGGTTTGGAGGCCAGGGTGGCTGAGTGGCTGTGGAGATGGACAGGACTGCTCCAGTGTCTCTCCCTGCAGAGGTAGGTGCTGGTGCTGAACCAACTAGTCCTGTCCATATTCTGACACTGGCTCAACACCCTGAGCCTGGCCCCAAAGGTCCTGGCCCGGCTCTAGAGGATAGCCTTGGAGTTCTTCTGGCCAGGACTGCGCTGGGTCTCTGCAGGGGAGACCTCTCAGAGCTACCAGAGTTCTACCAGGAACTCGTTCAGACCTGGAAGCTGTGTGCAGCGACCAGGTTCATTGTGGCCACCGAGGGATCAGACCTCCTCGTGGAGCCTGTGCTTCACAATCCAGCCTTGTGCGTTCAGGTGGTGGAGTCTCCCTCGGTGCACCTGAGGTTGATTCTGGCAGAAACCACCAAAGTCGGAGATCTCTTGGACTACGACAGGGGGGATTGGGAGGATCCCCGTGTGCTCGCTTGGTGCATGGAGCTTTCCACCCTTTAAACCCCCCTGCCCATGATTCAAGTGAAGGTGACCTTGTTGCAGCCCATTCTCGATTTTCTGCAGCAAGCCCTGTGAGAGAGTACGCCCTGCCCCCCTCACTGCAAAAACGTCCTCCCTTTTTCTCGGGTCCCTGTTACGTGTCCCCCCCACCCCAACCTTGCCATCCTTGGATCCCCAGCCAGCTACAGGATCTGCAACCAGTCTATTTCTGAACTGCGCCCAGAGACCACCTGTACACGCTTGTGATCCACACGTTACATTTCCTTACCCTCGTGTCCCACCCCGACACCATATGGATGGACTATCTAAGATTTGTTTAGGGTGAGGAACCTAGATGGGCCAATGTTTATTCCACCTTAATCCCACAGCCCAACTGAGTCATCAGTTGGCGGCTTCTCCTTGAAGCTGTGAGCACGGGCATGCACCTGGCACAGTTCACCCCCAACCCAGATGCCTGCCACGTTTGAGGTGTGAGGGAAAACCTGGCACATGCATATCTGGAATGCATCAGGTTGCAGCCCCTCTTTTGGCTCCTTCAAGACCTCTTGCTGAGGTTCTGGCTACACTTTTCCCCTCACCTTTTTATTCACGTACTCCCCATCCATGGCCCCACAAAGTCACAAGACCTTCTCAGCAACCTACTCTTGCCTCTGGCAAAATCTGTTATATATAATACCAGGAGGAGAATGTTGGATGCGGGGGTGCTCTGCAACTGTGGGACCTCCTTCTGTTCCTCCCTAGTTTCACAATCCAGGTAGAGTTCCTCTGGGCGGCGTCTACTGTTTCCTTGGACAGCTTCAAAGAGCAGTGGGCACTGTCTGAAGTTCTCTGCTCAGTGTCCCCATCTGCTCCCTTGTTTTAAACCTTTGACCTGCACCCCTTGATCCTGTTTTTCATCATTTGTCCTAGAGATGTTAACTATTGGTTATTTTACTAGTTGATAGAATTTCCATCGACTACTCAATTAGTCAATAGGCACTTCCTCCTGGGGCTCTTGTACATTTCAAAGAAGGAATGCAGAACTCTGCCTGCAGCCTGGCCAGCAGGAAGTCCAGCTGACTCCAGGCTGCAGGCAGTATGCCAGCTTTGAAATGTACAAGAGTCCCCAGGGGCAGCTCTTGTGTATTGCAAAGTGGCAGTACAGCACAGAGAGTCCCCCGCTGACCCCGCTGCCAATTTGAAATGCCACATGGAGCCTAGGAGTCCTGAGCTGACCATAGTTCCGCACAGCATTTCCTAGAACCCGGAGGCAGCTAGAGACTCCCTAGGTGATCCCGGGTTCCGGGGAAATGATGTGCTGGATCCAGGGATCGTCTGTGTGGTGCTGCCACTTTGAAACACTGAGGCAGTGTTTCCAAGGGACAGCACCGCCACACAGCTCTTTTTTTCCCTTCTTCTCCCTCCACAAATTTTCCCCGGTGGCTTTTATTTTTCCTTGAAACATTTTTGTCTGTTTTTTTTAAACCATCTGGCAACCCCAGGGGTTAACTGCTCGCGAGGGTCAGTGCTGGAAAGCTGCAGCTCTGAGGCAGTTAGTTTTCGGAGAAGTGCGCTCCCTGGCCACGTGGTTCTGCAGAAGTTTGCGCTTGCCCTGAGGGCCTCCCAAAGACACGTACAATAGCCCTGAGGTGAATTAACACTGGGCGGTCGCTAGAGCTAGGGGCGTGTTCTGCCTTTTTGCGAAGGCTGGGGGTTGCCAGAGCAGGCCACGAGTCCCGCAGTTGGATCGTGGCAGCAAAGGCAGGCGGGCACGAGAGAGACTCGTGACCACCGCACACTCCCTTCGCGCCAACACGCGGTTTGCCGTAACACAAGATGGCCGCCACCTGTGCGAATCCGAGATGGCGGCCCTGACACGTTCCGGACGGAAATTCCCAGTCGCGCTCAACGGGGATGGCTACATTGGGTGACGTCACGGGCCCCTACGCCTCTTCCTCGTCCGCTTTCAGACAGCAAGAGCCCCTCCCGCTTACTCCTTCCTCCCTGCCACGGAAGTAATTGTTAGGTCACAGGTATCGTCACAGGACTTCCGTCCCAGCAAGCCCCGCCCCGCCCGTGAACATCTATTGGCCGGGCGCGGCAGGAAGTGATGGGCGCGGAGGGTCAGTGATTAGAGGGGACGTCAGTCGAACTCGGCAGTAGGGGTTGCAGCGAAGCCGGTTTGTGCTGGGGGTTCCCCTCCCTGCCAGCTGTATGGGCACGGGGCGCTGCCCGCATCACCTCGCAGCGTTCCTGGGGACTGAGCTCATGGGGCGGGAGACCTGGACTTGGGGCAAGTGTTGGGGCTGCTGATCTGGGGTGCCTGGCTGTCGGGGGGAGGGGCAAGTG